TTTCATGGTTCTCACAACCTCCATCTCTGCTCTGCCATCCATCACCTTGCGTGGGTACAGAGTGAGACACTGGAAGCCAGTAAGAAAGAAATCAAGTTGGTAGTATCAACACAACAAAGGAGTGAAAAAGAAACCATGAAAAATGGGCCTTCTCTTTCCACCACCTTCCAGGAGGCATTTCTCTAAGATGTACTAAAGGCCCATTTATCCCAACAGAGAAGATCATGAAAGTCACAACATGACCTAGTAAAGCCCATGTTATATGATTCCAGCCTGTGAACATCAAGGTTTTTATCTTACCTGGCACAACCATAAGAAGGGATGAGTGCAGCAGGTTTAGTACAAGCAATGCTGCTCCTGACTCTGAGGTCTATACCATCCAGATACAGACCATGACTGGAGCTTGGTGAACCCTGCACTGGAGAAGAAAGAGGTCTCTGAAGTTCACTTTTCAGTTCTCCAACTGTGCAGTGACTCTTGACTTTCTTTTAACTGGCTATAAGGGAGAATTTCACAAACAAGACTTAATCAGGATGAATATCCATTGCGTGCAACTGAATTTCTCACAGTATCAGTGATGTTCAATCCATCCAGTCATGAATTTCAAGGAGCATGTGGTGGGGGGTTGGAGGGACGGACCATCTCCTGCTAGTCTGGAGCCCGGCTTGAACTCAGGCTTTCCTTGTAGCCACAGAACTTAGCCTGCAGGTGGACCTCCTGAATGGCCTCAGGCCTTGCCTGGTGATCTGAGTTCTCAGCTGGACCTGTCCATGATGGCTCAGTACTTGCTCCCCTCCTCAGACACCACAGGCCAAAAGCTACTCCAAGGCTAAATGTCTAATGAGAACACTGTTGGTGTGGATTTGTAAACACACCATTGCCATAGCTGAAATCCAGCAGCTCACAAAGATCTCCCACCTTTCCTCGTGGGCTTCCATAGTGTTAGACAGCAACCCACCACCAACACTGCTTACATTAACTACGGTTAAAGTTTTAATACAGTATTTCTGAGATACTTCCTGCACAAATAACACAGCACTGCTCTGGTTCACTGTCCCATAATGTCCAGGAGCCTCACTAGTGGAAGGAGAGTTGGCAGCAAACAACAGACAGGCTGATGAGTTCCTTCCTCACCTCCAAAGGAGTGAAAAATAGGGTTGGAGACAGCGTTTGCAACTCACACCGTTCAAAACGCTGGCAGAAAAGCCCCAAAAAGCTCAACCTGCTGCAAAATACCTCAGATGGGGAACATCCGAAGAAATAAAAAGGAAGAAAAGAGAATAAGTAGGAGCACAGCTGCAGCTGTGAAGACCTAGCATCACTGTTGCAGCAGGAGCAAAGGCGCTGGCACACAGCCCTTTGGACAGCCTTTCTTTCTGAGTGGAACCTCTGTCAGACGTTAGGGAGGGGAGGCCCACAGCTAAGACACTGGGCTAGGGTGTTGGAAGGCAAGGGGGCCTGTGAGAGCTGGTCGGCATTTAAGCAGCTCTTCTTCCAAGCTCAGGATCGGTGTGTCCCTGTGAGGAAGAAATCGGGAAAGGGTGGCAAGAGACCTGTGTGGATGAGCAAGGAGCTCGTGCACAAACTCAAAGGAAAGAAGAAGGCCCATGAAATGTGGAAAAAGGGTCTGACTACTTGGGAAGAATACAGGAATGTTGTCAGGGTCTGCAGGGATGCGACAAGGAAGGCTAAAGCCCGCCTGGAATTAAATCTGGCAAAGGGGATAAAGGATAATAAAAAAGGTTTTTTCAAGTACATTAACAGTAAAAGGAAGACTAGGGAGAATGTGGCTCCCCTGGTAAGTGACGGGGGTGTTCTGGTAACGGGGGATACTGAGAAGGCGGAGATACTGAATGCCTTCTTTGCTTCTGTTTTCAGTGAAAAAGCTCCCCCTCGGGAATCTGAGACCCTGGAGGTGAGAGAGAGGATCTGGGGAATGGAAGACCTCCCTTCTGTCAGGGAAGAGGTGGTCCGGGAGCGCCTAGGCAACACCAATGTTCACAAATCCATGGGACCCGATGGGATTCATCCACGGGTGCTGAAGGACCTGGCAGAGGTGATTGCTGAACCGCTTTCTGTCGTCTTTGAGAAGTCTTGGAAGACGGGGAAGGTGCCTGAAGACTGGAAGATAGCCAACGTCACCCCGGTCTTCAAAAAAGGCAAGAAGGAAGACCCAGGCAATTATAGGCCAGTCAGCCTCACCTCTGTCCCTGGAAAGGTGATGGAACAGCTTGTACTGGATGTCATCTCCAGACAACTGGAAGAAGAGGAGGTTATCAGGAGTAGTCAGCATGGGTTCACAAGGGGGAGGTCGTGCTCCAACAACCTGGTAGCCTTCTATGATGTTGTCTCTGGCTGGGTGGATAGGGGGAGAGCAGTGGATGTAGTCTACCTTGATTTCAGCAAGGCATTTGATACTGTCCCCCATGACATCCTTATAACAAAGCTGAGGAAGTGTGGGATAGATGAGTGGACAGTGAGGTGGGTTGAGAACTGGCTGACTGGCAGAGCACAGAGGGTCGTTGTTGGTGGTGCAGAGTCCGGTTGGAGGCCTGTAACTAGCGGTGTTCCTCAGGGGTCTGTGCTGGGTCCGGTCTTGTTCAACATCTTCATCAATGACCTTGATGAGGGGATAATGGCCACCCTCAGCAAGTTTGCCGATGATACGAAGTTGGGAGGATTGGCTGACACGCCTGAAAGCTGTGTTGCCATTCAGCAAGACCTGGATAGGCTGGACAGCTGGGCAGAAAAAAAACGGATGAGGTTTAACAAAAGCAAGTGTAGAGTCTTGCATCTGGGGAGGAATAATTCCATGCACCAGTACAGGTTGGGGGATGACCTGCTGGAGGGGAGCTCTGCGGAAAGGGACCTGGGTGTCCTGGTGGATGACAGGTTGGCCATGAGCCAGCAGTGTGCCCTTGTGGCCAAAAAGGCCAATGGCTTACTGGGGTGCATTAAAAAGAGCGTGTGCAGCAGGTCGAGGGAGGTGATCCTCCCCCTCTACTCTGCCCTGGTAAGACCTCATCTGGAGTACTGCATCCAGTTCTGGGCTCCCCAGTACAAAAAAGACAGGGATCTCTTGGAAAGAGTCCAGCGGAGGGCCATGAAGATGGTGAAGGGCCTGGAGCATCTCTCCTATGAGGAAAGGCTGAGTGAACTGGGTCTGTTCAGCCTTGAGAAAAGAAGACTGAGAGGGGACCTGATCCAGGTCTATAAATATCTAAGGTGTGGGGGGCAGAATGGCGAGGCCAGACTGTTTTCAGTGGTGAGTGGAGACAGGACAAGGGGAAACGGCTGGAAACTGCAGCATAGGAAGTTCCGCACAAACATGCGCAAGAACTTCTTTACAGTGAGGTGACGGAGCACTGGAACAGGCTGCCCAGGGGGGTGGTGGAGTCTCCTTCTCTGGAGATGTTCAAGACCTGCCTGGATGCCTACCTGTGTGACCTGGTGTAGGGAACCTGCTTTGGCAGGGGGGTTGGACTCGATGATCTCAGGAGGTCCCTTCCAACCCCTACAATTCTGTGATTCTGTGATTCTGTGATCATGCTGAAAATTGGGATGAGTTTGTTGGGGGGAGCGGCTGGGGTCGTTAGGTGGTGGCTGCCTAGGCACTAGTCAGTGTGTGATGAGAAACTGCATTGTGCATCATTCCTTTTGTGTATTCTTTTCTTTTTGCTTTTTTTTTTTTAAATTATTATTATTACTTTTCCTCCTTTTTCCTTCCCATTATTATGTCTTTATCCAAGAGTTTTACTTTTTTCTTCATTAAATCTCTTCCCTGTGAGAGGTAGATCATGTTTTTGCAGTGGAAGTTTCCAGTATTTCTGTATGTAGCATAGGATAAGTTGCCTTTCACAAAGAAAGCTCCTGAACAGAGTAAAGTTGAGACTGGAACGTTCCGACCTGGGTAGAATTGGCACAGGCACTAGGGTAGGGGAGAGTTTGGTCCAGGACAGAACGAGCATGCTAATTCTTGAGACTATTTTCCTCCTGTCACCATAAAAAGTACAGAGCATACCTAAAAACAATGTGTTGGAAACAGACATTGTATGGAAATGTAAGGTAGCAACAGCATCGGAAGGTTGTGCGCCTGAGATGCTCAACCAGAGTGCCAGGAGAGGCTTTACCTGCATTGGACCCAGGGAATACAACAGGATGGATTTCACTGACTAGTCGTGCGATTTCTCCCTTGTCAGCAGGGGAGCTCATTACTGCAATAATGAATAAACTGCTCTTCACTGAGATCTTTGCCTGATTAGAAATTTTTGATCTTGAGCGTGTTTCTCACATCCCCATCTCACTGTGGGGAAAGTGGGCAATCAGCTCTGTGGTGCTGATGCCTACTGGGTTAAACTACAACAACAGCTCCTTTGGCACCCAACATGGAGCCCACAGATCACAATAACAACAGATCTAACCTGAGCATGTTAGAAAAAATATGTTTGTGATTTGCTGTAAGTACCACATTCATTGAGCAGCTGCCAATTACAACACAGATTTCTTTGCTGTTAACACTGATTTATTTGCTCACAAGGTTTTCTGTGTAACTGCTTTCTACCTGCCTCTACCTCTGAGAGCTGGCTTAAGTTTGATTTTGACTTCCTCAGTTTGTATATACCATCTGCCTATGTAACAGTGACCATGAGCCTAATCTGGTACTTCTATTCAGCACTGCTGGCATACTCGTAGTTCAGGAATTATTTTGTGAAACTACGACCAAGTACATTTTCTACCTTTTCTCCACAGGGGTGAACCTGCAGAGGACATCTCTCCATTCTCCTCCACCTTCCTCTTCTCCTCCAGGCTAGTTACAACAGTGCTTGAGAATTTTGAATATCTTTGAAATGGTCAAACAAGTAAATTATTGCAGGGAAGTCATGCAGCTGGAATCCCTCTCTAAAGAACAGGACACTGGCAAGGGGGATTGGAAAAGGCCCACAAGCCTCAGCCTCTGGAGGTGACTCCTGTCAGGCATCAAATTCCTTCAAAGAAGATGATGTATGTCACTAGGCAAGTGGACCACCGTGAAAAAAAGGTATCCAGCAACTCCATATGGTCTGCTGTACACATTAGCTGTGCTGGAAGAGATCTGTGGTCACCTGGATAACAAGCAGGTAACCAAAGATCCAGATGAAGCCCATGCATGCAGTCAATGAGACAGAAATTTGTATGGATCAATCATCATATGCCAGCACACTGAAAAGATGAAGAGGAACCAATGGTGCACATAGTGGTCATCCAGCTCTGGTAACACAAAGAAAACCTCTCCCTTCCCAGTGGACTGCATCTTGGCTGTGAGGAAACTGCCTGAGAGGTCTGGCAACTCAAAGAGCTGCTCCTTCCCACCTGTACCGTCTAGTGTCTCAACTACTAGGAAGAAAAGTTTCTCTGTTCACAACAGAGGATATAGTGGGTACGTGTCAAGTGCCACTCTGTGGTTTTATCTGCATAATCATGTGGAAA